ATATCAATCTATCAAACTACAGTCTACATTGTACTGTTGGAATATAGTGAGGAGGAGTCTGGTTAGAAATGAATTTGTGTTCAAATATATGTTATGTTCTATGTTGTATTTATAGGTTATGTGTCCTTCAATAACCAATTTGTTTGTGATGTTGCACGATTGCAATGTGCAGCCATGTTCTATGGAGACTGTGTGTCCGTCCTGCTGCAATCTTAATGTGAGCTGAGCCCCTCTTTGACAACACTTGAAACTTGACTCAGTCCTGAATAAAATCAATCAATCACTACTTTCTTGACCAGTTTTCCTACAGAAGACATTTTAAAACATGATTGAATATACAGTATATTTATGTGACATATACATCTGTTATTTCTATTAATTCAAGTTAATTTCCTGCATTTGACATTTCAAACCATGTAAAAAGACTAGGAACTATTTTTAGTCATAAATTAATAATCATAGGTGCATTATGTTCACAGTTCATAAATAGGTGATTTCTGTTACATATCTCAGGAGCTTATGTGGGTGGATTGTAGCAGTGCCAGTGATGACTCACACACTTTTATCTAAAAGGGTATCACACAAAATGAGTTTATGATGCACAGATGCTATGAAACACCTGTGGCTGGCAGGTTGCCTGTTGATAAGAGAGTGGAGACATGATTCAAAGAAAAATGATGTGGTTTGTTTGTAAGACTTTCACTAGAATACAGTTGGTATTTTCAATACCATAGTAAATGGACAATGGCTGTGTTAGACTTGCAGCCTGTGAATGATCAAGCACTGACAATGGTCAATGATATTGGTGGCACAGAGGCAGTGGTGCCCCCCCCCCCCAATTATATTCTGCTAAGATCCTAATAAAGGCTGGCCTCTGGGTATACAGTAGTAATTGAAACTAGATTGAATGCATTGAAATAACTTTATTCTTTATATATCATAAAGCCACAACTTTAATTACACTTTTACACAGATTACATTTCATCTGTAACTTGAAACTGTTATGATTAATCCTCTAACTGGATTACGAAGAGAGGAAACGTTTTTTCATAAACTAATCCACTCATAAAGTTCCATGGTGATATTTGTTTAAATTTGTATCCCATTCACATGTAGTGTCTTGTCTTAAGCTCTCCACTTGCCAGCAGACATACCTGTCTAATAGCATATAGCTGCTGGGTGTGGATATTTAAAATGCCACTCAGTCATCCCTCCCTGTACC